TTCCTTTGCCTCCTAGTGGTCTTGGTGACTGAGGAATTCTAGATGTGTTCAGCCCAAAAAAGGTAACTTTTCCAAGCTCTGCCCAACATGAAAGCTCTGTGTTCCTCTCCTCCTTTTGCTGATACCAGAGAGGTGGTTTTGAAAATTATGGTCCAAGACAGTAATTTTCCCAAGTTCTGCTCAACCTGAGAGCTCCAGATATTACCCTCCCCTTTGGAAGATGGAAGATCCTGGGAGTTGTAGTCTGAAATAGTAACTTTTCCATGCTCTGTTCAGCACTAGAACTTTAGTGATTACTCTCCTTTTCATCTTTTCTCACTAATGAATTCTGGGAGTTGTAGTTTATTTATTAAACTTATATCCTGCCTTTCTCCCAAATGGGGTTCAAAAAAGTAATTTTACCATGCTCTTTTCAGCACTTTTCCATACACTCATAAACTGAAGTTCTGTCTCTTTGGTCAGAAGTGTACACTTTTTTTGCATTCTCTATTTTCAAAGTAGCTATAACTACTACCCACCGCTCAACTGCTGTTGATTTGGGGATTCTGGGGGTTGAAGTCTGAAACATTAACATTTCCAAGTTCAGCTCTGCACTGGAGCTCCAGGCGCGGCCAGGCCTGCTTCCCCAAGATGACTGAAAGCAGGTTTTTACCTGTTCTCCGGCCTCCGGTAGTCCAGCCGGCAAGTCCCACTGGTGAGGCTGAACATGGGGTGGAAGGCGCATTCCAGGATGTGGAGGGCCCTCTCTGGAAAAGAAGGTGCCAGAAGATAGCCTTGCTGAGTCACCACCCAGCATCTCTGATGACCTTAGCATCTTTATAAAGTAACATTTTCTGCCTAAAGGAACCCAAGATGACGCATTAACTTTAAACACACATCACAAGACAAGGAATACAGATTTAATTTCAGGGGAGAAGGGAACACTCCAAAAGCCAAAATCAACAGCATTAGCTGCTTTCTCTGCAATCACACAACTTTTCTCAGACAGCCTGTCGGTTTGCTGGCAAGGAGGGGAGACCAAGGGAGTCCTGAGGGAAGAATCCTAGGGAGGTTTGGCCTGACCAGTGAATGCCAGCGCAGAAAAGGATGGTCTTTCTTTCTCTCTTGTAGCCCTAGAGGCAGAACATAAACCACACCCCAGCAGAGATATGACTTATTTACTGAAATACTTCTAACCCACCTATCAGTGAAAACTCTTTTTATCCACAATAAAGCCACATTCTATTACAAGGATGGGAATCATGTCATCCTCTAGTAATGGGTGGCTGCACTGCAACTCCCAGCACTCCTCACCACTGGCTAGTAGGGCTGATGGGAGTGGCACTCCAACACTTGGAAAGTTGTTTGATTCCCAACCCTGCATTACAGGCTAGAGGGAAGGGAGGAAAAAAGGTCCTCAGGTGTCATCTAAATGAGAGCCAGCAGGGAAATATGCTGAAATTGACAAGGTACAGAACTTCAAAGACAAGATGCCACAACAGAGCAAGCCCTGCCTTGTGCTGTCACTTAAGGCTGACTTGAGAGAAGGAAGTTTGGATGGGACTTCCCAATCCAAACTCAGGCCCCTAGGAAAGAGTCTCCTTTTCTAAAACTGTTTTCTCTCTCTCTCATGTCCAGCAGGTGCTCTCAGTCACCTCTTTGTTACAAGCATGAATCTTTTTGGGCTCCCAACTCCTTTGGAGGAGATCTACAATGCAAGGAGAAGTTCACACAAGCAGTGCCTGGTGGCAGTGGGGATCAACCTTAGTGTGACCTTGCCTCTTACCAACCAAGTCTCTGGCCATCTCCTGGTCTTCCTGCATCCGACACACATCGCTGAGCTGCAGGAGTGAGTCCACATGCGAAGGGTTCATCTGCAGCAAAAGCTGTCAGCAAAGAAAACAAAGCCGGTGAGCGATTCATCAGGTCTCCCCACCCTCCTACTCTGACTTGCTGAAATACCATGAGGATTTTGAGGAGGGAAAGGTACACTTGCAAGGCAGGCAAAAATAAGGAACAATGTAGAGAGAAAAAAAGCCACAGAGGACTGGCACATTTCCAGGGGGTGCCACACAGAAGTCACACCTTCCTTGTATCCCTTTCACCTACACATGTACCGGGGGGGGGGGGGGGGGGGGTATTCAGAGAAACTCAAATCCACCAGTCAGAAGCAGTAGCAGAAGGAGGTCTGGTTAGCTCCTGTTGTTGTTGTTTCTTTAATCTTGCTTGATAACTTTCTAGCCTTTCTTTTCAGAGTGACTGATAGCCTAAGCAGACAGTGCAAAGCGCCGTCTTCAAGGCCAGGAAGGGGAGGGGGCAGCCTCACGCTGGGCGCCCCAACCCCTTCCTGAAAACGTTGTCAGAGCGGCTGGCCCTCCGCATGGCTGGCACTCAGACGATGCACTTCTGCTGCAGCGTCCGCACACACTGCAGCGGAAGAGGCGCCGAAGGTGCGCCGGAGGCCTTTTGTGGCGCACCTTCAGTGTCTTGCAGAAGGAGCGCTATTTTAGCGCTCCTTCCTGGGCCTGGGACGCTGCGCAGTGGGGCCGAGGAGTGCGGTTACCTCGGCCCTGTTCCGCAGCTTCGTTGGGCGGCCCCGTGCCGCCCGTTTGCTTCCCCCCTCAGTGAGTGTTACGAAAAACAAGTGCTGGTGACCTGTAGTTCCCTCTTCCCATTTGGTTTTTAGGTCTGACCTTCAGCTGCCACACATCTTTCCCTCCAATACTCCTTACCGTACGGTAGGAGTATGGCAAAGTATGGCCCGCCATTCTCATGGTGTTCATTGCCTTGGGAGCCCATGTAGGCTGGGAGGCAATAGTGAAATACCTTAAATCATATGTGGACCAAATTCTTTCTAAAGGCTGTCTTCCCAGCATTGCAAGCCTGGAATCTACTTTCTTTGGCACCCTGTATAACTAATGCAGCTCGCAGCCCTAGTTTAAGGGAAGTCTGTCACACGGTTATTTCCGTGCATTCATATTTCATTGATCCAGATAAAGAACATCTCATAAAAAGAACAGTTTACATATCAACGAGCTACATAACACACACATTATAAAAGAAAGCGATTGTTCACTAGAGACAAACCATCTGTGAACTTTGAACATTTGTTTTTAAAATGCTCTCAACCAGCCTAAGGCCAACACTTCGTGAAGCTTAATATAGTCATGTCACATTTGCACATTTGCAGATCTTTCCTCTTGATTACATGCAGAATTTATGACCCTGTCCCCTCACCTTTTCAATTATCTACATATCCAAAGATCTCAAAAGATGACATACACTTTGGTAAATTTTGGTGGGCTCAGAAATGGCACTCCCACAATGTGGACTGCAATGTGTTATGGCCAACCCAGTATTCCTCCACCCTACTCCTGTGTTTACAGATAGTGCCAACTGAAGATTTTTAAAATGCAGTTCTTCAGCAGGAGGGGGATAAGATTGCTCATCAGCTCCAGTGTATTTCTGGCTGGCCACAAAAGGGCAACCAAAGGTTGAACTCAATAGACATTTAGTCTGACCATGACTTGCAGTGCCATCCAGCTCTCATTGCTGTGATGGCGTGTCTCATCCAAATTGACCAAGCTGGAAAGTTTCTATAACTGCCCCTGAGTTGGCTTGTGGGTTTGTTTGGGGTGTTTTGGCAAGCCAAAAATAGCCTTAGTCAGTAGCGGATTCCACGCCCGGGCTTCCAGCGAGTGAGGAGTAGGCCAAGCATGAGGCTTGTTGGGACAAAGGGTGCTCTATCTGACAAACTATATCAAAGTGCCATGTTTGCCCTTATCAGAAAGTAGGAGAGAGAAGGGAAGGTTGGGGTCTCTCCAAAACTTCAATGTCCTGATTATGCTAATATTAGGCAAAGAACATCTTTGCCATTTGCCTGTTTTTTGTGTGTGCCAACAAAGTTGATGCTCAGTTTAACCCGTTTGGACATGCTCAATCAAACTCTCAAAGCAGCATCTGTTCTGCTAAATACCAAGAAAAATTAGGCATCTCTTCCTTCAAAGCAGGAGAAAGTTTATAAATAGCTACAGTAGCCTCTTGCGAATCCTGATTTTTAAGATACATGGTGCTTTTCCCCACCCCTACACTCCCAACTAGAGGTGACAGCAATACAGGAAAAGGGTACTTAGCTAGAGACTCCCCTCCTAGAACAGAGGCTGGAGAAGTTACTTTTTTGGACTACCTCCCAGCATCCCCCAGCCAGTACAGCCAATGGCAGCATGTCCACTTTCTGTATTCAGTTGGCACTTTGCCTTAATTTTAAATACTGTTTTAATTGATAGTTGATGATTGTTTAATGACTTTTTAAGGGGTGGGAGGGGCTGGATTTCGGGATTGATCTTATTGTGTTGTATTTTTAAGTTGGAAGCCACCCTGATTGCTATGCAGAGGGGCGGGGTATAAATAATAATAATAATAATAATAATAATAATAATAATAATAATAATAATAACTATTTTATAGGACATTTTTGAACCATTTTGTTAGGAACTTTTCATATTTTATGTCATTTTTATCCATCCAAAGTGTTTTTTCTCCCAGCAGCTACATCAACTGGGGCATTGTGGGTAGGCACCAAAAGATGGTTCCCCCCAAACTCTGAGATGGGCTCCTTCAGCCCTGCAACACCAAAGCCCACAAGTTTTTATTACCTCAGGGTTAACATCATTGCCATAGGAATTCTGTCTCCCCACTGAGCCACAAATAAAATAAAATGTTGTTGTTCTCTGCTTACTTATGATGACTCTCTCCTAGGATTTTCTTGGCAAGATTTGTTCAGAGGGGTGGCCACTGCCTTCCTCTGAGATGGAGAGTGTGTCACTTGCCCAAGGTCACCTAGGGGGTTTCCATGGCTAAAAAGGATTTAAATCATACACTGTCATAGTCCAACATTCAAACCACGACACCACACTCTAAAAAAGAGTCCATATGGCAAAGTTTATTCAGAGAGAGTTTGCCATTGCCTTCCTCTGAGACTGAGAGAGTGTGACTTGTCCAAGGTCACCCAGTGGGTTCCATGGCTGAGCAGGGATTTGAACCCTGTTCTCCTGGAGTCACAGGCCCAAAGTCAAACCACTACACTACACTGGCTTGCCTCTGAGCAACAAAACAAGTCGCCTTTTATCTATGAAACCCAGAGTACAGGCTCTGCAAACAAAACTTCCCCCCCCAATCCTGAAATGCAACTTCAATTTTAGAGGAGGAAAATACAGGGCTTGTTAAAGCTATCTAACTCATTGCCTTGGGATGTTATGATGACTCCAACATAAAAAGCTTTTGGGAGAACAACAACATGAAAACATGGGCGAAGGCAGTATTTGTGAATACCCAAGAGCTGCAAGATCAAAGAGTACTGCAGCAAATATTGGCATTCACTTTCTTCCCCTGCCACACCCAAAGTCCCAACCTCCGACTTACAGAAAAGTGCCTGAAGCTGCCTTGCATGGTCATTTGGTGCTTTGGGGTGAGCAGGCAGGATCATAGAAGCATCATAGTCAGATGTGAAATCATGACATCAGTGCAAAGAACTGCTGGGTCCTCTGGGGCCATAGCCAGATGGTTCTGCGATCTTGGCTGCTCACCACAAAAGCACAGAATGGATGTGAGGGGTGACCTTAGAGGCTTTTCAGTAAATTCAAGGGGTGGCATATGGCTCAGCCAAGTATAGCTGTACACCACGCTGAGCCAAACAAGATTGCAGCCAGTATGCCCTGCTAGCCAGATCACTAGTCTGGCCCTCCTTGACGATCATGGAGACCAAGGCTTAACTAGAGAGAAAGCAGCTGTAAGTATTGTTGATGGCCTATAACCCTGACACCAGGCCCCTGCCCAGACAAGAGCCTACCACAAGATTGTTGGGGTCCATGGACTCCACGGCATCCAAGAACTTGAACTGGACTTGCTGATACTCTCGGTGGTGTTCAAAGGCAAAGTGCTGTATCCCCCGCTTGGTTTCCAGCAGCGCCATAGAAATACCTAGACAACAAGGGGAGAAAAAGAGCCCTGTTGAAACTAGAAGATGATGGCCGTCATTCCCTGCTTGTCAGAGAAATTCCTGCTGCTTTGCCAACCCATATCTTGAAAGCAAAGCTTATGATCTAGGTGAATAAGCTCCAGCTTCCAGGATTTCCACCCCCCCACACACTAGGCCACCCACCCAAAGGTGAAATCAGAATTGGGAAGAAATCCACTTCCTGATTTATTATTCAAATGCAGATTAAGCACATTTATTTTTAAACAGTTTAAAAACCAAACGCAAGACATGCCAGAGCAGCCACTCCTGATATTAAGGACCAAAGACTATACACAACAATGTAGTCTCAGCTGCTTCCTACATGCCCAAGAGGGGTCAGGGCAGACTTGGAAGGAACTACACAGCTTGGTCGCCACTGCAGCAAAAGCCCTGTCCTGTGTACACATCAACCTAGCCTCTCAAAGTGGCTGGAAAGCAATGTGCCAGGACCTCTGCTGAGGAGCTCACATTTCAGGAAGGCCTGTAACTCAGGCTTTGAAGCCAACAGAGGTAGCACAGCACTGGAGGGACCTGGGCAGTCCACTCACCTGTTTTGCTGTGGCGTGGCCAAGTGTTCTTGGGGACCGTCAGCCAGGTGCTGCGGATGTGCTGCCGCTGGCGCTGGCGTGGCCTGGGGAAGAAAAAGAAAATGGGGTGAAAACATCTGAATAGCTCCACTCATATACCTTCATCCTACTCTATATGCCAGGGGTCTTTGGTATTTAACCCAGCATGGATGGAGCAGTCCCTTTTACAGGCAAGATCCTGGCTGACCTAAAGCCAGCATTGGCAGCAATCAGGCTTCCAAAGGGAAGACAATCCACAACTGAGAAGGCCCTCTCCTGCATCCTCCCACAGTGTATGGTTCAAAGCCACCACAGTCTGCTTATTTCAACCACATCCGAATGACCTATAAGGATGAATCCACATCCAGAATTCTCATGTTCACAGCCTGGTGAAAGGGCCACAAATGTAAATGTAAAAACAAAAAACAAAACAATCTCCTCCCCCCCAAAAACAGGCCCTATTTCTAAGGAGACACTGATGCTTTTGTGTTGAGAAGATTCCCTTTCAGTGCTTAGTGACTTCACAACTCTCTGCCATGTCTCTCCTAGCTCAAAGATGGCCTAGCTTTCACAATTCTTCAAACTTATCAGTGTGCTGAAATGTGTGTTTTCACAGCACAATACCAAGGCAGTTTTGGTTTCCCACCTGTCTTGGCTTCCAAGCTTGAACTCACCTGTGATCTCCAAGAACTGCTCGGGCCCCAAAATATCTCTTCAGCTCAGTTTCTGGATTCAAGTTCCTGGAAAAGTTGTAATACAAATCCATCTTATTAATTATTTGTTAGAAATGCATTTATTTACAAAAGTGCCACCGGCACACTTGAAGGAAGGAAATTGGCTCTCCATCCTGAGGCACTTACAGAATAAAGAAGGGGTAGGCAGAGTGGGGCTTCCCAGGTGCTGTTGAACATCATCTCCCAGCAGCCCTACTGGTTGGTATAGCCAATGCTGAGGAATGCTAGGAGTTGCAGTCCAACAACACTTTGATAGCAGCATAATGTCCACTCATTTAAAGTTGGTCAACAGAGGAAGTGGGAAGGGGAGAGGGCAGTGGGGCAGACAAAGGACAAGCATGTTTTTTGAGCTATGTGCCTTAAACTATTGGCTGCCACTCTGAACTGCTTTATTGTATTTTTGACTGTCTGTTACACTTATCAGAGGACCTTCTCCAGTGGCTTCTCTCATCCTATGGAACTTCCCTAGGAAGGATGGAATGGCAACCTCCTCGTTGCCTCTTCTGCTGGCAAGAGACAACTTTTTATTCCAAAATGCTTTTAGGAATTGACTGTAATGTCTATTTTGTTGATTTTTTACCTTCTTTTCACTGATTTTTAAACAGTGTCAATGCAATACACAGAATCAGCATTCAGCTATCTTCATGAACATAGGTGAAGTGGTTTTCGAATGGGATGACGCAAATGAACTGACTAGTGCAATAAGTGCTATCTTACCTGTGCTCTACATACAGCAGAGGCCGACTGTCTGTGAACACTCTGCTTTGGCTTTGGCATGATGGTCCATCAGAATTCTCAATCCTCACCAGGATGCTCTCGATGTCTTCTGCATCATCTTCCTCTCCAGGGCACTGTGTCAAATCACAGAAACCAGCATTAAAAAAGCTCTATTTTTGTCACATTCAGTTCACACTAAAGGACCTTAACTAAACTGGACCAGGATCAGCTGCTGAATCATGTCCTTTCCCGGGTCTCATCATTTCAACCATTCAACAGTTCTCTTTGTTTCTTTCACTGCAGGAACCTGCAGTGAATGGAGGATAAACTTTCTCCTGTGCTGAAAGTTGGCATTGTATTTTTAAAAGCTAAACTGACACAAGGTTGAATCATTCTCAGGAGTGGGACACTGTTCTAGCACTGCTCTTTACCATATGCATGGCCTTTTCTTCGTTCCTCTTTACCATATGCAGGGCCCTTCCCTCTCCATATCTAAACCCCAACCCTGGTACAAACTTACTGGAGTCTCACTCGATGCATTCTTCTTGTTCTTTCTTTTCTTCTTTTTCTTGCGTGATTTATTATTTGGAATAAGCTTTAAAAAAAATCAAAATGAACAGCACCAGTGATGCATATGGGTTGCAGAATCTAGTCAACAGCATAAGCAATACTATAAGCAATACATAATTAGGCCAGGAAATGTGATTTAAAAGATGTTGAATTGCAAGAGGAACAAGTACAGTACAGTACAGTACAGTTGGAAATACTCCAGAGCTCTGTCTCCACCCCGTGGCACAACCATGAAACAACAAATGGATGACACTTCCATCTCTGAAAGGACTGGCACATTTAGCCCCCTCTACCCCAAAACTGAAGAGAAAATGAGTAATCTTCATAATTATAGAAAATGTTGCAAACATTGAAGTCTGTTCATTAGATCATTCCTTGACTCTACACATCTGTATGGTGTTTGTTTGTTTTGACAACTGGATGCAACATTGTAGTATATCTAAGTGATATGATAGCCCTGTTTGAAGGGATGTCATATTGAGGATAGAGCAAGCTAATCTGCTGCTCCAGAGAATAGGATATGGAACAATGGATGCAAGCTGCAGAAAAAGAGATTTCACCTAAATATTAGGAGGAACTTCCTGACAGTAAGAGCTATTCAGTAGTGGAACACACTCCTTTGGAGAGTGGTGGAGTCTTCTTCTTTGGAGATTTTTAAACAGAGGCTAGATGGCCATCTATCAGGGTTGCTTTGATTGTGTGTTCCTGCATGACAGGGGATGGGACTGGGTGGCCCTTGGGGTCTCTTCCAACTCTATGGTTCTAAGAAACCAAGCCCAGTTCCAAGGAATTTGAGCCATGGCTAGCCTGCTACCTCCAGAACAGAGCCTACACAACCACACTCACACTATTATCATAGAATCCTAGAGTTGGAAGAGATCCCAATGGCCATCCAGTCCAACCCCATTCTGCCATGCAGGAACACACAACCAAAGCACTGTTAACAGATGGCCATCCAGCCTCTACTTAAAACCTCCAAAGAAGGAAACTCCTAAGAAAAGCTTTCTATCTCCTTTTTAGGGACATTCAGTGCCCTAAATCCCAGAGTTATGCCTCTTAACAGGGTATTTTTATACACAGGGTACCTACTGTTTGGTCCAACTGCTCAGTCTCTCCTCCTCCTTTCTGCCTGTCACTCTCCAGATTCCGAGGTTCCACCTCTTGGTTCTCCGTGTCACCTTCCTCCTGCAGTCTGCAACCATCTTTCTCCTCTTTGGATGCTAGATCATCTTCTGGTTCTTCATTAGTTATCTATGTAAGTTTTTTTAAAAAAAATTAGCCCAGTTCAGCACAAAGGATGGGTTTCTCAGCTATTTACTGACATAAATGCAAAGACTGCATTAGATAAATAAGGCAGAGGTATGGATTGATTTATCCAATAAAGGGAAAGGCCATGTTTGGCATACAGAACAAGGGTAGGAATTGTGGGACTCTCTAGATGTTTTTGGGCTGCAACTTCCATCAACCTTAAGCCTTCTACTGTAGAAATAA